AACATTACTGTCTCACAGTTCTGGAGGCTGGAAGTCCAAGATCAAGGTATCGGCAAGTTTGGTTTCTCCCGAGGCCTCTCTCCTTGGTGTGTCGATGGACAGTCACCTTCGCCCGGTGTCCTCACGTGGTCATCCCTGTGTGTGTCGGTGTCCTAATTTCCTCTTACAAGGACACCAGTCAGACTGGATCAGGGCCCATCCTAACGACCTCATTTTGACTTAATCACCTATTTGAAGGCTATCTCCAGTTTCAGTCACATTTGGAGGGACCCAATTTAGCATACAACAACCAGCCAGACCAGATCCTCTGGGGAGGCGGACAAAGCCCTAGCCCTCAGCCATCTCCGTGTGTGAGAGCCGGTGCGGGTCCAGCTCCAGCACATGACCTCGGACGCGCCGTCGCATTCATACATGGGGCTGGAGAGTCTCCCATGGGCACTGAGACAACTGCGATGTCCTGGATCCCATGTGGCAATCCACCTTCGAGGTGTGTAGCCCGATCCATTCACCCGTGTCGGGCTCGAGTCCATAATCACCAGGCAGGCCTGCCAGCAGCTGTACAACACCGCTGAGCACCAAGGCACTGTACCATCGCATACCAGGGTCTCATGGACTCTGCTGTCCCTTCTCCTCCGTGGTGCTGCTTCCGGTGCACTGGGCATCCCAGGGGCAAGAGCTGGGTGTCTTAGGGCTCGTTTACTCTTCAGTCGTCCTGCAGGAGTGGCTCATTCAGTAAATTATGTTCCAAGCACTGCAGATACAGCTGAGGACAAACCGAGACCCTGACCTCAGGTGGCTCACATCCTGGTGAGAGGAGATGGACGATAAACCAAACAGAGGAAAATGCAGACCAGTTGTGGTGGTGGTGATGGGGGGGTGTTAAGGAGGAAAACCAAAGCTGGGTGAGGAGGGAGAGGGAATGGTGGGCAAGAGCCCCTGGTCCGCAGGGCCTGGATGAGACCGCTTCTCTGGTGAGGACACATTTGAGCAGAATCCTGAAGAAAGAGGGGCCTTCCAGGGGAAGGGACAGCAAGCACAGAGTCCCCAAGAAGGGGAATCATGGGAGTGGTGTGTACTATTCTGAGGAATAGTAAGCAAGGGGAGGTTGTAGGAAAGAATTTAATCTCACCCCCAAAGAGTGGCTTTTGCCTTCTGCTTTTGGGAGGTAGTTACCAAGCTCTACCAGGAGTGCCTGTTGGCCTGGGGCCCTTGCAATAGCCTAACAATATGATTTCAAGTAGGGGCATGGCGCCAGGTGATATTCAGGCTGGAGCTGAGCACACAAGACCAACATTGTGAAGAGGGGGCTGCAGACTGAGATCGCGAGGAGGACACTCAATTAATCACACCTGTGTGATGAATGCCAATAAAAGCTCTGAGCACCGGGCTCTGAGGAAGCTCCCTGTTGGCAGCACTGTGCAGGCCGTCCCTCATGGGTGCTGGAGAGGAGGCTTGCGTGTAGCTCCAAGGACAGAAGGCAGCTGACAGCTCAAGTGTGGCACTCCCCTAAACTCACTGCCTGGGTGCTTTTCCTGCAGCTGGTCTTAATCTGCATCCTTCCTCTGCTGTAAACTGTAACCGTGAGTAAACGGCTCTCTGTGAGTTCCTCCAGGAAGCTGTCAACCTGGGTCAGCTTGGGGACTCCCAAACCTGCCGTTGGTGTCAGAAGTGGAGGTGGTCCTGTGTGGACTGGTCCCTCCAAATGTCGTAGTTGGCCAAATGCAGGGATAGAAGTAGGAAATCAGGAGGGATGGGGAGGTGCCAAGTCTTGGGGGGGCCATTGGAAAGACTATATATTTTTAGTCTGGCACAATGGAAAGCTCCTGAAGTCTTTTGAGAGGTGACAGATCTGGCTTTTGTTCTCAAAGAGTCAATGTGTGAAGAGTAAAGGAGGCAACCCTTGCTGCTCACCTGTGGCAGTCATCAACATGAGAGATGAGAGTGGCCCAGGGGCTGGGCGCTGGTGGCAGGAGAGGGACCTGCTGAAGGGGCGGTGAGGAGCCGCCATGGGGCATGATGGGGAGAGCCGAGGTGTGGGGCTCGGAGGTTTTGGCTGGGCTGGAAGTTTGGCTGTGTCTTTTACTGATGTGGTGAGAGCTGTAGCTTAATTTAGGGTGCTGGCTTTGAGGTGTCTCCTAGAGCTCCAAGGGTGGTTCAGAGTGGGCAGATGGACTTGGAAGCCTGGGATTTGGGGGCTGCGGGTCCACGCTGAGGCGCACCCTGGGAGGCATCAGGTTGTGTGGAGTGCTGCTTGACCACCAGTGAGACATGGCTGAACACAGACATGACTTCTGGCAAGGAACGGGTGGAGTGGTTGTGGGAGGAGCCCAGCTCAGCTGCTCCTGAGCAGTTCTTGAAGAATTGGAGGGAAGCGCAGTGATGGAGAATGTGGTTATGGAGATGACACTGTGTCACCTGCCCTGACAGGACAGCCCAATAAAGTGGGGGTCAAGGACGCAGGGGAAGGAGGGCGATGTGACTGAAGCCAACTGGCCAGCATGCGGGGCGGTGGGCCCCACACACAAGTGACATGCAGGTCTTAGAGAACAGAGGAGGGGGGGCGGGGGGGGGGGGGGGGGGGGGTGGAAGGTTTAGTATGGAAGCAGCAAGGAATGTTCTCCTGCTGATGTTGACGTCTTCAGTAAAGTAGGACACAGAGCTACAGTACAGGCAGAGTGTGGGAGGAGGTGTGGAATCCTCTTCCCAGAAGGCGGGAATCTGAACAGCCACAACAGGCGGAGCAGGTGTAGGGTTGCCACAAGGACTGTTCTAGAAACTAGTCTTCCCAAGGGAAAGTATTTCTCCAGCCATAGCAGAGAGAGTCACATTTACCCAGGACCAGGGTTCGCCGGGCAAATCTGTGATGTGAGAAAGGTGCTAAAGGGAGGTGAGCAGAGGGAGGAGGACAGCCACCAGGTAGGTAGGTGGTGAGGACAGTGGGTTGTGTGGCTCCCAGCGCAGGTAATGATGGCTGTGGTCCTGCTAGTGGTGGCCCAGAGTGGGCTGTTTGAAACTGAGCTTATGGAGGGTGGTGACAACAGCGACGAGGCAGTGGGTGGCTGACCGCAGGCCATGGTTGACAGATGCCTCATGAAATCACATAGAGAGTCATGTGCAAGATGTCATCAATAAAATAAAACTGAAAAGGATAGACAATGTTAGGGCATTACACAAGAGTATATATTAAATCATGAAATTTTTCTCATATGTATGCGTATTAGATCAATGTAAAAATAGGGTTTTTTAAATTTAATTTAATTTTATTATGTTAGTCACCATACTAACCTCATTAGTTTTTTTTTTAATTTTATTTATTTATTTAAGAGGGAGAGAATGAGAGAGACAGCACTAGAGGAGAGAGGGTCAGAGGGAGAAGCAGACTCCCCGCTGAGCAGGGAGCTCGATGCGGGACTCGATCCCGGGACTCCAGGATCATGACCTGAGCCGAAGGCAGTCGCCCAACCAACTGAGCCACCCAGGCGCCCCTAACCTCATTAGTTTTTGATGTAGTGTTCCATGATTCATTGTTTGCATATAACACCCAGTGCTCCATTTAATACATGTCCTCCTTAATACCCATCACCAGGCTAACCCATCACCCCACCCCCAAAATGGGTTTTTAAAGCTTAAAACTTACATTTTTAACTGTTCTTAAGTGCATAAAGCCACAGTGGCATTAGGTACATTTACACTGTTGTGCAATCATCCACACTATTCCCCAAATTTCTCGTCACCCCAAATAGAAACTTTGTACCCATAAAATGTATTCTTTACTGTGGTCATAGTTTAAAACATTTGAAAGGCACTGGTCAGTGATCAGGAAGGGGGTCCATCTTAGGGGTCATGCAGAGGACAAAATCCTTGCAGGAGAGGGGACAGTGAGCTGACAGGCCAGGGCACTGGAAGGATCCTCCGTGATTCACATACAGCAATTCCTTAGATTTTAAGGGAAAGATGTGTTTTTAAGAATGAAGCTAGGAACCACAATGCAAAGAACAATAGGAAATCTGGTGCTAAATTTTTCAAAGAATGAAGGAATCCAAAGAAACGGAGCAGAAATCATTGATGTGCCTGACTACCACATAGTTATTTGGGTATGTTAAGTTTAATATTATCTGCAGCCACTAAAATCATTCATTAAAAACTGCAATAAGCAAAAAACGTCCCTTCTCAAAGCAGGATACAAAATTATATTTGAATCACATAAAAAATTAGGATTTTTTTCAACAGAGAACTGGCTGAGAAAAGATATTTGCGGTAGCAAAAACAATAAAAGCTTAATATTTAAGACAATCTAAGGAATGTCTAAAATTCACAGGAGAAAGGAAATCCCCTAACACCAGTTGGAAACTGAAGATCTGAAAGTTGGAAATTGAAGATATGAAAGGCTTAATAATTAAGAGATGCTAAGGCTCATCTGAAAAACTCACCTTAAAAACGATCATGAGTTCCTACTTTGCGCCAGGTTTGTAAAAGGAGGAGAGTTGGAGACATTGCTAGGAGAATGGCTAAGTTCTGACAAATGGACAATATCCAGAGACCTTCTACAAACAGTAATAAACCAAATGCACATCCAAAGACGCTGAGAGATCTTTACAGGTACACGGCATTGCAAAAAAGAAACAAGATCTAAAGGATGCTAACATGTATAAAAATGTTACATACATTGTGACCTCAACACTGTGGTTTCTAAAAAATCATGTAATTTAAGAAACAACCTATAGGGGCGCCTGGGTAGCTCGCGCAGTCGTTAAGCGTCTGCCTTCGGCTCAGGTCATGATCCCGGGGTCCGGGAATCGAGCCCCGCAACCGGCTCCCCGCTCCGCGGGAGGCCTGCTTCTCCCTCTCGCTCTCCCCCTGCTTGTGTTCCCTCTCTCTCTCTCTGTGTTTCTCTGTCAAATAAATAAATAAAATCTTAAAAAAAAAAAAGAAAAAAAGAAACAACCTATAAAGAAAAGCTGTGGGACCAACAAAATAATGACATGAGAGTCGTGCGGGGAATGGAGTGTAGACGTAAAGATGGGATGGGCTGCCTGGGGGGCCGGGAGGGCCACCCGGAGGATGGAGCTTCCTGTCGAGTCCGATTTGGGGGTTCTGGAGCAGAGGAGAGCCAGACGCAGATACAGAGGTTCTCAGAGCGGCTTGGAGAGTTCGGGGAGGATGGTCGGAGTGGGCGAGCACGGAGGACCCCATATTCTGGGGACCGAGTCTGCGAGTGGTCCGGCCAGGGAAACCCAAGTCCCGCGCACGGCCGACCCATGCGCCCCGCTTCGGCCCCGGAAGCTGTGGGCCTGGCGTCCCTCGGCCGATCCAGGCGTGCGGAGAGAACGAGTGACCCGCGGGTTCCCCACGGCGGGGGAAGCCTGCGGGCGAAGACCGTGGGCTGAGAACCCCAGTCCAGGCCATCCCGCGCTTGCGCACTGCGATCCTCTTTGAGCCCGCCCCACGCCCCGCCCCGCCCCGCGGGGCCCCGCCCCCGAGCCTTTCAACTCTCATAGGCTGGCTCCGAGGCCGCGCTCGGCAGGCCGACCAATGGGAGCGCGGCGCGCCCCGCGGCACGTGCGCCCCCGCCCAGCCCGGCCGAGTGCGAGCCGGTTGAGCTCCGGGGCGCGGAGCGCGCGGGGAGGGAACGCGCGGGCGGGGCGGGGCGCGGGGCGGGGCGCGGGGCGGGGCGCGGGCGGGGCGCGGGCGGGGCGGCGTGCTGATTGGCCGACGACGCGTTCCGAGGCCGTTAACGGCGGCGCGGCCGGGCCGCGGCTCCAAAACAAAGGGCAGGCGGCCCGCGGGGCGGCGGCGGGAGGATGCCTCGCGCCCTGCCGAGGCGCCAACGGCCGCAGCGCGTCCCGGGCCGCGCCGGCGCCGCCTGAGAGCCGAGCCCGCGCTGACCGGGGCCCGGGCCGGATGGGCGCTGCGGGCCGGGGCGCGGACCGCCGAGCGGCCGTGAGTACGGGCGGGCCTGGACACTGTTGCGCGGGCGGCTACTTTGTGGCGACCCGAGGCTCCTGCGACTGCGGGCGGGGCCGGAGGCACCTGTTGGGCGTCCGAGCCGGCGGGCGGGGCGCGAGCGGGCCGCACCTGTGGATGTTTTTGTTCTGATTTTTTGTTGTTATTTGGCTCACTCCTTGTTGGAGCAGACCACAAAGCCTAATCTTTGATTTTGCCCCCCTTTCTTCCCTTCCCTGCCTCCTCCCCACTTCAGCCACGAAAATTACAGAGAGAATCAACTAGATGCCTGATGATAATAGGCTTTTTTCCTCTTAAAAAAAAAAAAAAATGTTGCGACCGGGGAGGGAAATGAGGACAAAAGAAGGCTCCTAGGAATGTTTACTAAAAGAGGGGGATGTTTTCAAGTTGCCCACATAAAGATCGTGACTAAAATGAATTGTCCTCCGTATCAGTTCCCTGCTTGTAGCACTAGGCTTTTATTAAAGCACAGCTTGCAAAAGCCATAGCTTGGGAAACCTGCTAAGTAAGGTCCCCCTCCCCCAGGCCTGCCTCTGATTGGCATCTTTGATGCCAGATAATGTACTGAGTTCCAGGATGGAGAAAAAAGGGGGGGGGGGCTGTAATTTCATTTTGGAAAGATAATGGCTTTGGAAGACATCAGTTTCCCCACCCCCAAGCTTTTTTGTTCAGTTGCATTTCTTTTTCCTCTTTCTAGCCAGATCATACATTTTAACCTGTTGTTTCCTTTGCCAAGAATGTTATTCTTTCCACCCACCTCCTAAACTCCTACCCAAGCCTCAAGAGGAGGTTTACCTCCTCTAGGGAACTCTTCCAGGTGCTTCACCTGAGCAAGCTGCCCCTCTCCCACCTGTGCACCCTCCAGCCTCTGCACTGTTCTAGTAGATGAGTCCCTGCTCCGTTCCAGGAGCTGTACTGGATGCTGGGGTGGTTGGCTTTTGCAATGGTGCATTCGATCCCCCCTAGCCCCAGGCTCTTGGGTGACAGTAGTGGCACACTTGAGGAATGCTAATACTGAGGCTCTCCTGGACCGTTATGCTCCCTCCGCTTGCATCTCACAGGGTTAGAGTGTCTTCTACTTGCAGGAACCTCCCAGAGGTAGGACCAGAACAAAATCATCTCCTACCACAGACCTGTAGCTTGGGGTTTGGCCTCTATTGGGCACTTAAGAAAAAAAAATAATAACTGAATAATCTTAATTACCAATATGAACAATAGCCTTTGCTTTTTTTCCCCTTTTTTTAAAGATTTCATCCTTAAGTAATCTCTATACTCAATGTAGGCTCAAACTCACAACCCCGAGATCAAGAGTCTCATGCTGCACCAACTGAGCCAGCCAGGCACCCCAATAATAGCCTTTGCTTTTTAAACAAACTTCTTGTTTTGGAATAACTTTAGATTTCCACAAAAGTTGCAAAGATAGCGCAGACAGTCCCAATATGCCCCATGCCCAGTGTTCCCCGTTGTTAACGATCCTCCACTGCCATGGTGCATTTGCCAACATGAACAACTGATATGGGAGACATTCTTGTAACTGAAGTCCAGACGTTAAATCTTACCATTTTTGAAGCACTGGAATGTGTAAAGCTCTTTCTGTTGGAAGCAGTGTTCCTATAAAGTCTGTTCTGGATTTCCTGCCTGTCGTCCCTAAGTTTCACAAGGACCCAGTGTCCAGGGGGCAGGAACGAGGGTGGAGAGGGCAAGGGACTGCCATAGAGTTTAAATGTATTTTTTCCCCCTGGGAGACTGATAAATGGAAACTAGAATACGAAGAAGCAGTATTCTTAGTCTGTAGCATAAATAACCACTTCAGCCTCACAGAGCTGTTCTGACGCAGAGCTAGTGAAACCAATCCCCAGCCGCTGGGAATGCTTGAAATGCTGAGGTCAAGTTGCCAGTAGAATCTGCCTGGTTGGTTAATGCTAGGAAGATATAAAATTGGCATTTCAAGAAGCTACTTTGCTAAACTTGAATAACACAGATTCTGTTAATCTGGGAGCCCCAATTCAAACACAAAGAAGTGAGGAAATCCCTACTGTTAACTAAGCCCATTTTGCCTATTTATTGCTATCCCTTTTATTTTGTGAGGGCACGTCAGACTGCATAGTGACATCTGTTCTCAACTTGCTGGGTGTTTGATTTTTGCCTTTTCCACGTGTTCTTTTAGATCTAGGTGCCTGATGTAACTTCAGTAGCGACTCACCTACATTTGTAGAAAATATGAAAACTTTGAAAAAAAAGACAACAGAAATCATCCTTTCAGACCATTCTCTGATGCATTTCATTTGAGTTTAATTTGGTTTTACATTTGTAGAAAAGTAGTTAAATCTGCTAATCAGCAAAACCTCTAGGGAGTGGAAATTTTGACATGAGATTTTGGGGGAGGTTGGGAGAAAGTTCTAACCAACCGAGAGATGGAGGGCTAAAGGTTCTGGGGCGGACAGCATGAGTTGGATTCAGAAGAGAAGTCCCCATTCCTCCTGTGATAGAAACTCTCTGAAAAGCTGTCTGCTGGTGATAGTGAAATGAAAATCCTGGAGCCAACCCACTGTCATCCACACCCGGGGAAGGGGCCCTTAATCTGGCACCTGAAGAGCCTCAGGACCAGGACCAGGACTCCTGGTGGGGCTTGTGAGGTGTGGAGATGCGCTTGCCAACCCTCTGTCCCTCTGACATGACCTCTTGCGTGATTGTCTGGACCACCCTGTGAATCGCAGTTTACCCACATTTTACAGATAAAGCAACAGCTTGGCTTGAGGTTCCACGCCACCAAACACGAGGCAGGGTTTGAGTCAAGTGCTCTTGCAGCTGTGTCCGCCCTCACTGTTGGCAGCCTGTCTCTTGCCAGACCTCGCCTCCTGGCTCCCTTGTGCTGTCACGTGGCTTCCTGGTGTTGGCACTCTCACCCCCGAGCACTGGCCCCCTTCGATTGCTCTTTGCATCTCTGGTTTTTCCTTCTTTTGCCCCAACACAGGCCCTCAAATGTTTGATTATGTCCTTTTTGCATGTGATTAAATAATTATAGGTTAAGACTCCCACCTTCTGTCCTGCTTCCATCAGCCTTCTGGGTCCCACCCTTTCAAGTGAGAAGGGCAGTGGCATGTGGGTAGCTAGCACCTTGGTCTCTCCCCCTGTTGATAGCAAGCAAGCCAGTAACCTTTGCTAGGAAGTGTCCCTAGGCCCTGACTCTGGGGAACTTTGTTACTAGTGGGAGAAATGCAAAGAGTGTGTTACAGGTTGTTGGAAGAGAAGAGCTCCGTGCAAACACATTAATCAGTCTTGCGGACAGGTGGTAGGACTGAAGAAATCTTGCCCCTCCCAGTGGGCCTGCTGATCGCCAAGCCTGCAGTTCCTGAAATGTGTGGAGAAAAGCCTTTCATCCTGTAATTCCAGTAAGAAGGCAGACCGTGTGTGTGTGAAGGGAAGCTGGGTCTGCCAAAGGCCAACTAGACTCCTGCTATTGCCCTTTGACATGAATCCTTCCAGGCCTTTCCATGCCTGTGCTGTGTGTGTGTGTGTGTGTGTGTGTGTGTGTGTTTGAATAGTCAGTACATGCATTCGGTATCAAAAATCTAAGGTTACCGGGACGCCTGGGGGGCTCAGTTATTAAGCGTCTGCCTTCGGCTCAGGTCATGATCCCAAGGTCCTGGGATCGAGCCCCACATCGGGCTCCCTGCTCAGCGGGAAGCCTGCTTCTCCCTCTCCCTCTGCCTGCCACTCCCCCTGCTTGTGTTCCCTCTCTCGCTGTCTCTCTCTCTCTAATAAATAAAATCTTTTTTTAAAAAAATCTGAAGTTACCAAAAACCAGATGGTGAAAAGGAAGTCCCCCGTGCTTCCTAGCCCCCAGCTCATGTCCAAGGGTGTGTGCCCCAGAGCGCTGATAGGTGTTACCAGATGGCTACATCCCAGCCAGTCCTCGCCAGTGGTGGTATCAACTTTTTAAAAATCTTCGCCCACCTGCTAGGTTGTCAGACCTACCAGACTGCCTTTAATTTGCATTGATGAGTGAAGTTCACACCGGTTCATGTGTCTGCAGGCATAGTGGTCCAGGGCGTAGACTCTGGCTTTGAATCCACAGCTTCCTAGCTCTTGGCCCCAGTTTCCATATCTGCACAGTGGGACTAATAAGAACCCCCACCTCTGAAGGTTGCTGCCAGTTCATTTGGTTCTCGTGGAGTCAGCTGCTTAGAATGGCGTCGGCCTGGCCTGGGGGTCTCTGCAGAGCCCCCATGTTCCCTTTTCCGTGGAGGATGTGGAGGTCCCTGCTCGAGCCACCCACCTGGGGTCCCACTTGCACCATGAACTCTGGCTGAACGCTTTTGTGCCTGGTGCCTCTTTCCTCCTCACGGGGGAAGTGGAGGGCTGGGACTGAGCCTATCTGCCAGGTCGTGGTGGTGCAGGGAGGTGGCGTGGGGAGTAGAGAGAATAGGTGTCCCAGGGTGTGGGGCCCTCGGGAGCCTCCAGTCCATCCCAGAAATGTCAGAGCTGCTTGGTTGGGGCTTGATTTCTCAATGTTTTTGTCTTTAGAAGTGTGGTAACAGCACCATATGGACATGGGCCTGATTCACGTTCTCTTAAAATAATTATACATGTTTATTTTAGGAGAGAAATTTCTGGAATCCAGAATATTGTTTTTGCTCCAAAAAATTACCCCACAGTAGTATCTTCTGGGGGGATGGTTGCTGCCCTCCAAACCTAGGGGAAACATAATGTCCTGTAATAAACATGATTCACTGGATCCGTTTGCCTTTTGATTACTTCACGACGGCTCCTAACTTGCCAGTAGATCCTGTTGTAAAAGCCCATTTTGCACCCTGGTTGCCTGAAAACTTGGCCATGATTTCGCCAATGCCACAGTGGATACCCAGTTTAAAAGCCTAGTAAAAACACAACCTGATACACTTCTTTGTGAGCACGAATCCAGGACCCCCTTTGCCGGGTGGTGACAGGGGTGGCGGTCAGGATGTGTGTGCATGAGGCACACTCCTGCCTTGGAAGGGTTGGCCATGAGTGCTGAGCACGGACGAGGCTCAGTAAAGGTGACAGGAGCCCATGAGGAAGGCTGTTCCACAGAGACGGGCCTTCTGGACACTGGCGGCTCCTCAGGCTGAGGTCACCCGGGGCGAGGGCCG